TTACGAAATTTCAATTATTCGTAAATTCTTCAATTAAATATATATTAGAAAATAAAACCTTCAAAAATAAAAAAAAACCCGCAATTAAACTTTCTCAATAAAAAGTAATTCCACAGAATTGTTAGTTAAAAGTATGAAACATTCAAATTTTCAAAGATTTTAATCTGAAACCTTTTCAAAATTTAATTATTTCTAAAAATTTACGCTCTAATGCTTTTAATATTCAATTATAATCTAAAATTTTAACTGAAATACATTTTTAAATCAATTTTTATGAGAAAATTCTACTAGAATTGAATTAGCTAAATACAAAAAAACACAATTTATTGAATAATTGCATGTTCCTTAAAATGGCATTCTCATAAAGAATTGTATTAATAAATTTTTAAATAATTGAATTCTTTTGACGAATTTTAATAAAATTAAAAAAAATTATTACATTTTTTCGAGGAATTCGATTAAAATTATATTAAGGGGGTATTCTGGTCTAGAGGCCTCAATTTTAAGGCGTTTTTCCGAGTGGGATAAAAAAGAAAGTTTAACATTTTTAATATTTACTTTTTTTGCAAGTTGTTTATTAATGTTCAAAGAATACAGAAAAAAATTAGGAAAAAAAATAATCAAAAATTTTAAAAGTTATGAACTGGTGAAGTGGGAATTGAAAAAAATTCTTGTTGACACGATAACTCAAAATCTACTCAACCCATTTACTTCAAATTTTGCAGAAATGTTCTTTGTATATCTCTTTATGGTCGGAACCTTGGATTTTGAAAAATATTTTTTTTTACTATTTTTAAAAAATTAAAAAAAATTAAAAAACAGAATCAAAAAACACAATTTTTTTTAAATTTTTCGCCATTTTGCTAAAAAAATTTATTTTTTCTTTTCCAAGGCACCGACCATAGCGAAGCCTTTAATAATCAAGAATTTCTTTGAGTTTTTGTTTTAGAGCATTACAAAAGTCTCCACACTGTCAACCAGTACGCACTTCCTTTTTTCAGTCCCCACTTTATCAGTTAATAACTTTTAAATTTTTTTATTATTTTGTTTCCTAATTTTTTTCTGTACTCTTTAAACATTAATAAACAACTTATGCAAGAAAAGTAAATACTAAAAATGTTAAACATTCTTTTTTATTCTACTCGGAAAAACGCCTGAAATTGAGGCCTATAGACCAGAATACTCCCTTAAAAATAATTGAAATTCTGCAATGAGTTTTATTATTTATCAAAATAATTGAATTCCTAATAAGAATTTTATTATTTTTTTTATTGCCAAAATAATTGAATCCCTGTACAAATTTTACTATTTATGAAAATAATTGAATAATTGCAAATTTATAAAAAAAATTGTAAATAATGAAAATCCTGTGAAATTTTTATTAATTTTTGAAAATAATTAAAAGTTTGTGTAGAATTATATTAAATTTTTTTTAAATAACTGAATTCTTTTAGAAAAATTCGGAGAAGAATTTGATTATTTCTAAAGATAATTGAAATTTTGTCGAGAATTTTTAAAAAATTTTGAACATAATTGAATTTTGGCGAAGAATTTTATTACTTTTGAAAATAATTGAATTCCTAAAATACGATCTCGGCACTCAAAATTGCCTAGCACTTCAGAATTTTAAGAAAAGTGGGGGTGATGACCCAATAAAACGTGATTTTTGGTGTTTTCAAGATATTTTTTCTCCTTAACATAATGTGCTAGAGACTTTTTAAACCCGAATAAAACTAAAAAGTAAGTAGTTCGTTCTCCATCGCTAAAATTTGATAGAATGAAAAAAAGGCCAAACTTAAATATTAAGACCAAAATTGTATTTTTTCATTTGTTAAAATATTATTAAGATGTGCTGACATTTGACTTTCTATAGGTACCTAAGTTTTAAAATAAATTTTTATCTATTATTTTGGGTAAGCTGAAGAAATAATATAAGTAAATTAGCCCATTTTAAACAAATATCAAACAAAAAAATTATACTATTAAAATGCTTTTTAATTATTATTTCACAGCTGTAAAACTGACCTTTTATTCGTGCAACTCAATATAAACATTAAAATTTCAAGTTAAATACAACAATTTTTTTAAAATAATTGACAAACAAGAGTCGTACGAATATTAAAAATCATTAATAAAAAAAGTATAATATTTTTCTAAAAAAAGGTAGCAACGACTTCAGCTGATGCGAGTATAATATCCAGAATATAAATATAAATATAATAAATATAAATATAATAAAAATATATAAAATATAAATATAAAATATAAATATCCAGAATATTAATTAAATTCTAATATAACTTTACTAAATTTCACATAAGTTTTTTTTAAGTTTAGTATTTTTTATATCAAAATTTCGCTTTGTCGCACTTTTTTCCCAATTTGTCAAAAACTTTTACAAAATTTAATATATATTCTCTCTCCGTGTATTTTTCATTCATAGAATTTTAAAAATTGGATAAAATTATAGCCTTTCAATTTGTATATAAAATATATGAACCTTTTTTATCTAAAAAGAATTTACTACGTAATTCTTAATAATAATAGTAGTTCGTCATTTACAAGTCTTTTTTGAATATATTTAAACAAAGACTAAAGATATTTATTAAATTATCTAAATACCTAAATATATTTTAAAATTCTTTTTGGGAAAATTTTAAACTCAGCAAAATCCTCTCCCAAAAATTATGTTGAAAATCTTATGAAAACTTTCATGCATACGTCATATTTAATACTAGCTGTCGTACCCGTCTTCGACGGGTTTTAGTTTCTACCAATACATTTAAGTTTCTACCAATCTGGAAAATCAGGAAATAGCTAGGGAATTTAATTTGACCGGAAAAAAATAATAATTAGTTACCATTATAGCTATTTTAGTAGGAAAATATTACTATTTGAATCAGTGATTGACTTTTTGTTATCAAATTAGTTATTTTAACCAATTCAAATGCAGAGAACAATATTTATCAATTTGTAGTACTTTAATTAATGTATTAAAAAAATTAAATTTTCCATACAGTTTTTGGAGTTATAGTAGAGTCTAATTGGAACTAATTGTATCGCAAGTAGACCCTACGTTACGACTGCTAAAACCTAACATAAGACCTAAATTTTAGGCTGAAAGTAGGGCTTAAATTTTGACTCGGGTCTGTTTTCATAAATATTATACATCAATAAAAATTGAAGTAAAAAGCAATTTTTTAAAAGCGAATTAATATAATGAAACTTTTTCTTAATTTGATAGGAAAATTCCCGGTTCGGCATATTCCCAGCTTTTTACAGTTTTTCCCGTTTGGTAGATACCCAGTTAAATGTATTATTATAAACAGAAAACTGTACGACAGCAAGTAATACAATCTATATTTATATGAACTTAAGAAACAGTATTTTCATAAAATAAGTAAATTTTTATAGCCATTTGTAGATTTATTTATGGATAAAATCAAGTAAATTTAAATTTGACAAAAAAGAGATAAACCGTGAAAAGTTTGGACAAAGCAGGGAATTTTGTTAAACAAAAATAGACACCGTGTTAACTTTTGTCTTTACATTGCTCAAAACATCTCTTAAAGTTAAATCTAGAGTTAAAATGAAAAAACGTTTTAACATGTAAGTTTTTGCCTAGTGGCATAATATGCTTGTATTGTATCACAGGTGACTTACAATTCTTGACATCCTGCGAAATCATTTTAATCATAAAAAATTTCCATTTTCAATATTTCTGAACTTCTTGAAAATATTAGATTGATTTGATAAATAATTTTGAATTGCACTATTTTGACATCAAAATATTAATCAGAGACTCCAAAAATACTACTGAATTATACTTCATATAGTAATTAGTATCGATTTTTTGATATATTGAAAATTTTTTTATATTTCTTGTAGGATAGTATTTTTTGCAAAATTATGATAAAATCTGACTAAATAACATATAATATTCATTTTTAGAAAGTTTAAAAGCTATCCATTAAAAATTGTGAAATTTGGAAATTTTCCATTTTTCAAGTTTTTGAAAATATTTTTATATTTACATCTTAGTTGTAGAATAGTATTTTTTGAAAAATTATGCTAAAATGTGACCAAATAACATGTAATACTCAAATATAGAAAGTTTAAAAGCAATCCATAAAAAAATGTAAAATTTTGAAATTTTCGATTTTTTGAAAACATTTTTATACTTACATATTAGTTATAGGACTTTATTTTTTGCAAAGTTATGCTATAATGTGACTAAATAACATATAATACTCAAGTATATAAACTTCAAAAGCAATCCATGAAAAATAAAAAATTTTGAAATTTTCGATTTTTTGAATTTTTTGAAAAAATTGAATATCTCCCGTTCTAATTAATATTTTTTAAATCTGTAAATTTATAAACCTTCCTTGGGTCAATACCTAATAACCTACCAAGTTGGACTTAAATCGATTCACATGTTTTTGTGTGATTGGGGTACAAAGTTTTTGTGACAGACAAACATACATACATACATACATTAAATTTTTTAAGAACATTTTTGGAATCTCTGATGTCCATAATAACTAATCATGTTAACATTTTGAAGTTTTAAGCAATGTACAGACAGACATCTGATTTTATTAATAAGGATATAATTTAATACTGTGTATTTCACGATATTAAAATTAATGGTAAAGATTTATATAATAAAATGGATTTTAAAAGTTCTCTACACAAGATATTGTAGCTATAAAATATATCTCGTGTACGAATGAAAACATGTGAACATAACCTCAAAAAGTATTTAACTTATTAATGACAGTAACAAAACAAAAAATTTATAGCTTTTAAAAACTAATATAAATACTATTTATTTAAAGTATTCTACAATTACCTTTTCATGAAACATAAAATATTTCACTCATAAAATAAGCACTGTTCAAAAAAGCCGGTAATGACTGTTAAAATTTTTTAAATTATAATTATTTGTTAAAGATTGAAACAGTCAATTGCATAATTGAAATTAAATTTTAACTCACCTCTGTCAAACTTTTTTCCTTCAGGATCTATATCTTTTACATTAAAAATATCTTCAAATAAAACACCAGCCATTTCTAAACAATTTTTAAAAAATAATTATGTAAATAGGGAAAATTTAACAATATAATAAATTGTTTGATTTTAAATATTTAGTTATTTAAACTTCTATGGGATTTGAAATTAAACTCGGAAAAACTTTTACTTAAATATCATTAAACTTATTTAGTTTATTCTTGCATTTCATTTGCTTATTTTGCAGGTGTTTTTACAAGAAACAACATAATATGGTCACAGCACTGCCTGCCTAGGAGTCAGGGCTGCAAAGTTAGGCTATGTCCACATGGGGATGCGGACGCAGGGATTAAGTCGAATTCACATTTACCCAAAAAAAAAACAAAAGTAGAATTTCGTGAGTGCAAGAGAGATAGTCAGATATCACTATCCTTTCCACTCTCACGAAATTCTGCTTTGCATTGTGTTTTGTAACTAGGCCGTGAATGCAAGTATAGCGAACATATATATCTCTATCTCTCTCAAGTTGAGTCTCCAATAAGACAAGGTGCGCATCGATGTTCATAGCTATAGGTATGAGACGCATGCATATTCCCTAATCGCCAAGTCGTCGAATAATCAAATAGTCGAATGCCAAGTAATCGAATGGACAAAACGTCGAATGCTAAAAACATCGAATCGGCATTTAGTCGAATGCTTAAAACATCGAATTGTCAATACGTCGAATGTTTAAAACGTCGAATTATCAATTCGTCGAATGTTAAAAATATCGAATCGTCAATATGACGAATGTTCAAAACGTCGAATGATAAAAACGTCGAATGCAAAAAACATCGAATCGTCATGTAGTCGAATGCTAGAAATATCGAATCTTCAGTTAATCGAATGCTAAAAACATCGAATTCTCAATTCGTCGAATGTTTAAAACGTCGAATGCTAAAAACATCGAATCGTCAAAAGTTCGAAAAAGTTCTTTGTTTTAAGTTAATGTCTACTGAAGACAAAGAACTTTTTCGAACTTTTGACGATTCGATGTTTTTAGCATTCGAAGTTTTTATCATTCGACGTTTTGAGCATTCGACGAATTAACAGTTGTCGAATACTAAAAAAATCAAATCGTCAACATGTCGAATGTTCAAAACGTCGAATTATCAATTTGTCGAATGCTCAAAACATCGAATTGTTAATTCATCGAATGCTTAAATCATCGAATTTTCCATTCGTCGAATGTTCAAAACGTCGAATGCTAAAAACATCGAATTCTCAAATCGTCGAATGCTCAAATCGTCGAATGCTCAAATAGTCGAAACGCCATCTGTTCGAAATGTCAAGTAGTAGAATGGTAAAGTAGTCGAATGGTAAAGTAGTCGAAACGCCATCTGTTCGAATTGCCAAGTAGCAGAATGGTAAAGTAGTCGAATGTTCAAAACGTCGAATGATAAAAACGTCGAATGCTCAGAACATCGAACTGTTAATTCGTCGAATGCTCAAAACGTCGAATGATAAAAACATCGAATCGTCAAAAGTTCGAAAAAGTTCTTTGTTTTAAGTTAATGTCTACTGAAGACAAAGAACTTTTTCGAACTTTTGACGATTCGATGTTTTTAGCATTCGAAGTTTTTATCATTCGACGTTTTGAGCATTCGACGAATTAACAGTTCGATGTTCTGAGCATTCGACGTTTTTATCATTCGACGTTTTGAACATTCGACTACTTTACCATTCTACTACTTGGCAATTCGAACAGATGGCATTTCGACTACTCCCTGCTGGAAGTAAAGAGATACAAAGAGATTAAAAAAAGGGGATAAAAAAAAGATTAGAAGATATAATAGTTTGGAGATGCAAAATGGATACTTAAAAGAGATACAAATTTTTTATCTCTTTCTATAACTTTATATTTATATCTCTTTTTATCCCTTCTAATCTCTTTATATACAGTTTTAGATATAGAAATATATAGAAAAAAATATATAGAAAGAGATAAAAAATTGGGGATGCAAAGTGGTGAATTAAAGAAGATAGAACTTTTCAATCTCTTTCTATTCATACATTTCTGTCTTCCTCTATCCATTTTCACATCCTTTCTAATCCAAAGGAAAGTAAAAAAGGAGATATCCCTTATAGAAGAAATCGATTAATTTCAATTAAAAACTTTCTCTATTGTTGTTAATTGAGTTTCTTAATCGTGTTGTTCTAATTCATTACGATTAACTATAAAAAATTTGCAAGTAAATCTTTAATAAATTTTTAGAAAAGTTTCGATGCTGTGTGAGTTTAAAACTAATTTTGGTTGTCCATTACTGATAAACATTTATTGATTAAATATATTTACAATAAACTTTAAAAATATGGAAGTTATAAACTCAAACAAAAACGTAAAATCGCACAGTGCATAAAACACGCTTTCTGATCTACTGACCCGACGCCATGACACATAACAGCTGGGAAGATCGACGCATGCGCGTATAAGTTTATGAGTATGTATATAGAAAGGGATATACTATAGTAGATTAGAAGAGATAATCTTATTATATCTCCTCAAATCCCCATATTCTTAACTATCCCTATCTCTTCTAAATGAAGTAAGGAGATAGAATATGGGATTGAAAGAAGATTAAAGGTATAACATTCGGAAAAGAAGAATGATAAAAAGGAATAAAAAAGGTTTATAGTTTTGCAGTCTCGCATTTCTATCTTTTTCTATCTAAATAATGGGAATAATGGTAATAAATAATGTTAATAAGATCCTACATAAAAAGCGATGGAAGGGTATAAATAGGATATCAATAGTTATTAAGAAAAGGTTATAAATGAGGAGAAAGAAGAGTATCGAGAACTTCTGTCATAAAAAGAGATAAAAGTTTATAGACAGGTTATTAAAAGGTATTGAGAATAGGTTATTAATAGGCATAAAGAATAGTGTCTATAAGGTCTAACATTAAAAGAGATACAAGGAAATAGACAGGATTTTAAAAGTAATAGAGAAAAGGTGATTGAAAGGGATATCAAAAAGTTGTAATAAGATTGTATATAAAAAGAGATAGAAGGGTTTAAAATGGCTATTAAAAGTTATTCAAAAAAGGTGATTAAAAGAAATAGCGAACAAGTTGATAAAGGTAGGAATAGAAAGGCATAAAGAAGTATAGGTAAGAGATTAAAAGTTATACAATATTCATATCTCTTTCTATATTAGCAATAGAAAGGGATTAAAAGAGAAAAGGTTTCTATCTATTTACTTCCAGCAGGGCTTTACCATTCGACTAATTTACCATTCTACTACTTGACATTTCGAACAGATGGCGTTTTGACTATTTGAGCATTCGACGATTTGAGAATTCGATGTTTTTAGCATTCGACGTTTTGATCATTCGACGTTTTGAACATTCGACGAATGGAAAATTCGATGATTTAAGCATTCGACGTATTGACAATTCGATTTTTTGAGCATTCGACAAATTGATAATTCGACGTGTTGAACATTCGACATGTTGACGTTTCGATGTTTTTAACATTCGATGAATTGATAATTCGACGTTTTTAACATTCGACGAATTGAGAATTCGATGTTTTTAGCATTCGATTAAATGAAGATTCGATGTTTTTAGCATTCGACTAAATGACGATTCGACGTTTTGAACATTCGACAACTTTACCATTCTACTACTTGATAATTCGAACAGATGGCGTTTCGACTATTTGAGCATTCGACGAATGGACTATTCGATGGTTTTATAATTCGACTAAATGACGATTCGACGTTTTGAGCATTCGACGTTTTGAACATTCGACGTTTTTAGCATTCGAAGTTTTAAACATTCGACGTTTTGAACATTCGACGAATTGAGAATTCGATGTTTTTAGCATTCGATTAACTGAAGATTCGATATTTTTAGCATTCGACTACATGACGATTGGATGTTTTTAGCATTCGACGTTTTTATCATTCGACGTTTTGAACATTCGACGTATTGACAATTCGATGTTTTTAACATTCGACGAATTGATAATTCGACGTTTTGAACATTCGTCGTATTGATGATTCGATGTTTTTAGCATTCGACGTTTTAAACATTCGACGTTTTGAACATTCGACGTATTGACAATTCGATATTTTTAGCATTCGACGTTTTGTCCATTCGATGTTTTTAGCATTCGACTTTTTGTCCATTCGATTACTTGGCATTCGACTATTTGATCATTCGACGACTTGGCGATTAGGGGATATGCATGCGTCTCATAGGTATACTAAAGTATGATGTGGTATATCTATAGCTATGAACATCGATGCGCACCTTCTCTCACATTGGAGACCCAACTTCACACTCATGGCCTAGTTACAAAAGCTGAGTCTCCAATAGGTGCCAATATGCATGTGCAAGTGCCAATGCCAAACCCATTTAAAATGTATTGGGGATTGGCACTGGCACTGGCACTTGCACCTACATTGGCACTTACCATTGGCACCTATTGGAGATTCAGCTCAAAAGCTGAGTCTCCAATAGGTGCCAATGTAGGTGCAAGTGCCAGTGCCAATCTCCAATACATTTTAAATAAGTTTGGCACTGGCACTTGCACCTACATTGGCACCTATTGGAGACTCAGCTAAAATGCAACGCAAAACGGTGCCACGGGACTGCACCCTAAAGGCCTCTCTCCAATATGTTCCTAAAACTCTGCGTCTGCGTCGGTTGCTATAGCAACACATGCTAAAATCAACGCAACGCAGTCATTCGCAGACAATCGCAGAGTTTTTGGATCCTATTGGAGAAAAGCCTTTCTCCAATAGGTTCCCAAAACTATTGTGTTTTCTGCTCAACATGGGACTCCACCCTTAGTGTGCGATCCCATGTGAGCAGAATACGTCGATCGAAAGCAGAAAATCATGAGTGCAAAAGAGATAGGTAGATATTGTTGTTCTTTTCACACTAAGGCCGCAGTCCCAAGGCAGCGTTTTGCGTTGCGTTGTAATAAGAGAGAATGCAGCAAACGTATATTTGCGTCTTTTTCTCTCCCATTACGACGCAACGCAAGACGCTGTCATGGGACTCCACCCTTATGATTTTCTGCTTTCGGTCGACGTATTCTGCTCACATGGGATCGCACCCTAAGGCCGCAGTCCCATGGCAGCGTTTTGCGTTGCGTTGTAATGAGAGAGAATGCAGCAAACGTATATTTGCGTCTTTTTCTCTCCCATTACGACGCAGCGCGCAAAACGCTGTCATGGGACTCCACCCTAAGGCCGCAGTCCCATGGCAGCGTTTTGCGTTGCGTTGTAATAAGAGAGAATGCAGCAAACGTATATTTGCGTCTTTTTCTCTCCCATTACGACGCAACGCAAAACGCTGTCATGGGACTCTTGGGATCCTATTGGAGAAAGACCTTAACACGCAGTCGCGCCTATACGTTGTCTACTCTCTCTGATTATCTCTATGTCTATGGTCTATGCTGAATAGTTTATCAAAAAATATCAAACGTTTTTCTATTTGAAAACATTTTTTATAATGAAACTTTAATTAAATAAATAAGTTTTATAATATTTTCTTTATTTATGGCTGAAAAATTAATTGCCTAAATTAGTATATATTGACATTACAATTAAACTTCTTAAGAATGGATGGAAACCCTATAAATGAGGTTAGTGTAAATAAACTTCTTAAAAATTCTAATAAAAATTTATAGAGATTAATATTGTTTCATTTTTGTAAGTATGTAATGTGAGTATCTTAAAAAATTTAACTGAAAATTCGGGTCTTGAAAACTATTTTTTTTAAGACATCATCGGAAAAATCAATTTTTCATAGGTTAGGTAAAGACAAAATATTCTAAATCAACAATTTTAATTTGAATGATACACTGTAAAAAAAAATATAATTACGATTTTAAAATTAAAGTATCAACAAATTCTTTATACTTTTACTACTTCTATTATAGAAATAATATAGAATAATATGAGACAATTATAAGCTTCAGAAAAAATACACTTACAAAATGTAGATTTAGTTTTTGACATGTCAATTTTGTCAAAATTTTTAAAAGTCTGAGAATACCTTAGATAAGTTTATATTTTAATTTGGCAATAATAGGTAATATTTGGACACTCATTTAGAGTAGTAAAGTACAGGAAAAATTGTTGACACACTTTAGACAAGTTGTTCATTATCCGATCATTATGAAACTGAAGTTACCAACGTTGATTCAACGAAAAAATTTTCTCTAAACAGTTCAGGATACAAATATTTCTTGTTTATTTTTAACCCAAGTCAACCCTCCAACCCTGAAATAAAAAAAGGTGGGGAAACAAAAATTGTTATTTTTTTCTCACGGATTTTCCAAAAATCATGAAATTTCAATTAAATTAATAATTCCTCGACACGGTAGTCATTTTTTTCTTTTGATAATTGTTTATTTTAATATTAGACGCTATTTAAAAAAAATTTTAAGTGATTCTAAATCGGGAAAAGCAGTGATTTTGAATTTTTTTGTCACGAATTTTCCACAAATTTCGAAATTTCAAATTACTTAAAAATTCCTCGACTCGATAACAATTTTTTTTCTTTTGATAATTGTTTATTTTAATATTAGTCGCTATTTAAAAAAGATTCCAATAGGATCGTAGGCGGGGAAAGCAGTGATTTTGAATTTTTCTGTTGTAGGTCTTCCAAAAATCCCGGAATTTCATTAAAAAAATCAAATTATTAAAATAAACAATTATCTTAAGAAAAAAATTGCTACTGAGTCGAGAAATCTTTAATTAATTTGAAATTTCGGAATTTTTGGAAAATTTCTGACAAAAAAATTAAAAGTCACTGCTTTCCCCGACTTGGAATCACTTAAAATTTTTTTTTAATAGCGTCTAATATTAAAATAAACAATTATCCAAAGAAAAAAATTGCTACTGAGGGGAGAAATTATTAATTTACTTGAAATTCTTGGATTTTCAGAAAATCCGTGACAAAAAACCCAAAATCACTGTTTTTCCCGACTTGGAACCTTTTGAAATTTTTTTTAAATAGCGTCTAATATTAAAATAAACAATTATCAAAGGAAAAAAATTGCTACCGAGTCGAGAAATCATTCATTAAGTTGAAATTTCGAATTTTTTGGAAAATTCTTAACCCAAAAAAATTGAAAATCACTGCTTTCCCTTACTTGGAATCATTTGTAATTTTTTTAAGTAGTTTCTAATATTAAAATAATCAATTATCAATAGAAAAAAATGACTACCGAGGTGAGGAATTATTAATTTAATTGAAATTTCGTGACTTTTGGAAAATCCGTGAGAAAAAAATTACAATTTCTGTTTCCCCACCTTTTTTTTTATTGTAGGGTTAGAGGGTTTACTTGGGTTAAAAATAAGCAAGAAAAATTTGTATCCTGAACTTTTTAGAGAAAATTTTTTTTTTAATTTTTTCGTTGGTAACTTAAGTTTCATCGATCATTTAGCTTTCATTATTTCATTTCCAATATTTTAAACAATTAGAAGTTGCGTTTGAATAAAAATTACAATTCTTTGTCACTAAGAAATATTTGTTAACTATTAGTTTGTGCTACCTAAATCGTTTCTTATTGACAAAAAATTTTATTCAAATGTAACTTCAAAATATAAAAAATTAAACTCTTTACGCTTTCACCAAAACATATTTGACTTTTGTTCCGATTGTATGTCTGATTCTTAAACTTAAACTCTTTTCTTATAATGAAGCTAATATTATATATATATATATATATATATATATATATATGTTTAAAATAAAATTAAGCAAAGATATGTTTATGTTTAAAGATATGTCAACACTCCCGGTAAATTTACACTTACTACTAAGTGAAATTTCACTAGGTTTTTATTGAAAATGTACACGTTACTCCATTCTAACTTTATGTATTCAGCGTTGCTTCTCTGAAAATTATACATTTCTGGTAAAATTAATTAAATTCGAAAATATCAACCCGTGCCACCGAAAGGTTAAAGTTTAAATGTAATTTAAACTTTTGTAAACTTTATGTTATATCTTTTCCATTTCTCAACAATTTCACTTGTGGCTATGCATTCTTAAGGTTTTTGATGTACCAAACACGAATTTGATGTCAAAAATAACTTCTGACAGCTGCCAGTTGATAAAAAAGCTGTCAAATTTTGGAAATGGGAATTTTAACACGTTTTACGTTTATTTCCACAATTTAAACAGTTTTTTTTAGAAAATTCAGTTCATTTCTTATTCTAGAAATATAATATATTTTCGCAGTTGACAAAATCTATGTCAAAAAAACTGCCATTAACGATTTTAATTTTACATACCAATTTTAAGCCAAACTGATAACTTTCGTTAGATTTCCATTCTGTTAGGTCAACATCAAGAAAAGAATTATCAATTTGGAATCTTTTAAAAAATTGTATTGTTTCAGGAATTACGGAAATGATCTGAATTTTCTCAAAAAACTGTTTAAATTGTGGAAATAAATGTAAAACTGGTTTAAATTCTCATTTTTCAAAATTTTAAGATTTTTTGAGAGCAATTTTAACAACAGCAGGGCTCGAACTAGGTCCGTAAATCCCGTAATCGTCCGAAACTTTGCTTAAATTCTGTAAAAGTCTGTTTTTTGAAAAAAGGTCCGTAAAGTCCGTAAATATATAATTTGGATAATTTTAGAGAAATTGCAAATGATTGTAGGAATTCAATTGTTTTCAAAAGTAATAAAATTCTTGGCAAAAATTCAATTATGTTCAACAATTTTTAAAAATTCTCGTCAAAATTTCAATTATCTTTAGAAATAATTAAATTCTTCTCCAAAATTCAATTATTTTCAAAAATTTTAATAAAATTCTTGGAAAAATTTCAATTACCTATTTTCAAAAATTTTCCTTAATTCAGTGATTTTTAATATTTACTATTTTAAAAAGTTTCCAAAAAAATTCAATTATTTAATAAAAAAATTTAATAAAATTTTACACAAAACTTTAATTATTTCCAAAAAATAATAAAAATTTCAAAGAAATTTCATTATTTACAAATTTTTTTTATAAATCTCTTCCCAATCATTCAATTATTTTCATAAATAATAAAATTTTTACAGGGATTTAATTATTGTGGTAAATAATAAAATTCTTATTAGGAATTCAATTATTTTGATAAATAATAAAACTCATTGCAGAATTGCAATTATTTTTAATACAATTTTAATCAAATTCCTCGAAAAAATGTAATTATTTAAAAAAATTTTTATTAAAATTCGTCAAAAGAATTCAATTATTTAAAAATTTATTGATATAATTCTTTATGATAATTCAATTTTAAGAAACATGCAATTATTCAATAAATTTTTTTTGTATTTAAATAATTGAAATCTAGTAGAATAGTATTGATAGTAAAAGTAGTATTATTTAGTAGTATTGATTTAAAAATGAATTTCAGTTAAAGTTTTCGATTATAATTGAATATTAAAAGCATTAAAGTGTAATTTTTTTAAAATCATTGAAAATTTGAATTTTTCATACTTTTAACTAACAATTCTGTGGAACTAATTTTTTTTGAGAAAGTGTAATTGCGGATTTTTTTTATATTATTTGAAGTTTTTATTTTCTAATATATTTTTAATTGAAGAATTGATGAATAATTGAAATTTCTTAAAATTGAATATTGTAAAGAAATGGATTTGAAAATTGTCAAAGAACTTTTTAGAAAATTATTAAAATTAAACGATTTTAAGAAGGATTTTAGTTAAAAATTCTTGAAAATAATATATAATTGAATTGATAATGATTTTATCACTCGGTCATCTTTAATTATTGTAAAACATGAAGAAACGATCACTCCGAGTCGGACTCGGACTGGTTATATTTTTGTCAGCAATTGGTCCGTAAAGTCCGTATTTTTAAATACTTTCACTGGTTCGAGCCCTGATAGGACAGTAAAAATATTAGATTGTATTAAAAATTACTTAAGAATTGAATCTAATTAATTAAAATCACTTATTTATCTAAAATATTTTTTTTATATTTGGGTGATTCTCCGCGTAGCGCACAATTTGTATTTTACTATTTTTGAAAATTTTTTTTTCAAATTAAGTAAAAATCGATATAGAATTTTAAAGTTCAATATTCAAAAATGAAATATTCGTGGTGGGCCAGACAAAATAATTATAATTTTATTTTTTACAATAAACACCCATGTAAAATTGATTACACCATGACGCTCTGATTCGACCATGACGCACAAGAAAAATTAATTTTTTAAGCAAATTATTATCGATTTCAAAAATTCTTTTTTTCCACGTCTTTTGTTTTCACTTATTTTATACTACTAAACTTGTTTTGAGGTAAAATATAAATAATTATTCATTTTATTGCAAATATATTATGATTCGACCATGACGATTCTGTGATTCCCTATGCAACTTTCATGCTTGTAACACATATAAAACAGAAGAATAAATTTTTTTATTAATTTCTTTTTTAGTAATTTACTTAGGAGAGTTTATTAATGCTTTTTATTAATGTTAAGTAATTTTTCGATTTGATTTTTTATGTAAATTAGGCAATTTTACAAAGTGATGATACCATGACGCGAAAAAGGGGGACAAGAAATATCTACAAAAATATTAAAAAATAAATTTTTTTTCCATAAGTGTTTTGTTTTTCTCAATTCTACTAATTTAGACAATAAGAAAATGTCAATATTCATTATATTTATTATTATATTTTACTAAAAAAATAACATTTTATATATGAAATCGTAGTGGGGACTGATTACACCTTGACGTTTTGGCACCTTAAAACAGATTTTTGAGTAAAATTATAAACTTTTAAATGGAAACGACTATAGACTTTTATTTGTTATCATGGAAATAAGTTATCCACGTTGAATTTATTAGAATATATGAAACTGATTTTTTAAAAAACATGAGGGACATTAAATTGTGCGCTACGCGGAGAATCACCCATTTACTAAATAACTGTATCGATTTGTAAAAAAAATGTAAAGAGGAAATAAAATGCTCATATAATGAACATACCCCTTGTTGTTTAAATTTTATTTAATTTCTAATCAACAGCTAAAAAAGACTTTCTCATTTCTATAATATTTTTATTAGTCTCTTTAAAAATGTGTAATAGATCATTACTTTCGTGAAGAAACTAATAATTTTTAATTTATTGGTTCGATAATAATAATAATAATAGTTTATATAATAATGTTTTAGGGAGTACCATTAATGTTGGATTCTCAGCAACTGCGACAAATGGAACAACAAGAAATTCAAAAGCAGTTAGCAAGTGTTCCACCTTCAATGAATATGCTTCCTCCTCAATTGATTGGAATGACGCCATCTATGCAAAATCCAAATAATTTTTCTCCTCAAATGGAATCTCAAAAGTCAACACTACCTAGCCTCTTAACAATGAAAATAACACCACCGAGTGAAATTTCTAATCCCAACCAACCTGATCTAGGTGATAAGGGTTTAGATCCTTCGACAATGAAATTACCTGCTGCTCTTGAACAGGCTCTTGCTTTTAAAAATGAACGCGCCAAAGAAGTCGGTGGATCAGAATTTGATACCCACGAACAATTAAACACCGAGATTTCTGGAGAAACAATTGCTTCAGAAGATATAACAGTTTTGGATGATTTAATTATTGAAACAGAAACTGTTTTCGAAAAGAATGATACTCGTTTTAATAAGGTGAAGAAGAAGAAAAAGAAGAAAAAGAAGAAGCATTCCAGTGAACAGAACGGATTAGATGATATTAATAAAGAGTCATTAACTATTTCAAACTCAAAGGAGAAAAACATGCCTGAGATTGAATATGTTCAAGAAATTCCAGGAATTGAAGATTTAGAACCAATGTATAGACAATTCGCAAGAGTTTTCGAGGCTTTTAAACTTACAGAACCAGAACCTCGAATTAATGAAGATAAAGGAGAACCAATCGAGCAATATCCACCACTTTCGGCAACACCAATTTCTTTAGTGCCTAGTAAAGCTCCTCTTCTTGATGAATTTGATGAAGATGTTAATGCTCATCAACAACAACAACAAGATCTCGGTGAAAATGGCACTCCAAGATTATCTAAAAGAAAATTAAAAAGATTAACGAGGCTAAGCGTTGCAGAACTTAAACAACTTGTTGGTCGTCCAGATGTTGTCGAAATGCATGACGTCACTGCAAGGTAAGTTCTAGTCAAAAATTCCTCAACACACTACATTCTAATATAATGACCAAAACATTGTTGTGTGACTACAATTAATTAATTTTTAACCCTAGAATGAGTACGTTATTTTACTCACCCTCTAAGGAGTAACTAGGGTGTCCCGACACCCCACGCTTTAAACTTGTTTTATAAGGTTTATATTTAACGTAAAAAAAATTTATTATAATGAATTTATTGGTTTTTTTAGTAAGGAATACAATAATATTATTCATATTTTGATAAATTAAAAAAATTTTTAAAAAAACCATAAAAACCCAAAAAAAACACCAAAAAATTGCAAAATTGACTTTTTTCACAAAAAACGTTGTAGTTTCTTAAAAATTTGACTAATTTAAAAACTATTTTAGGTTTTTAAAGTTAAATAGATACACTTTTAGGGGAAAAATTAGTTTTTGTATTACTTGCAAAAAACATAATTATTTGAACATCTGAAGTGAAAGAAATTAAAGACAATTCACAAATAGTGAAAATCATAAAAATAAACTATAAAATAGACTTAAGCAATTAATCTTTAATGAAAATGGTGTTATAAATTTAAAATTTTACAAACTTAATATATCTGAATATATTAACATTAAAATTAATAACTTATGAAATGATTCTGTAAATTAATATTTAATCAAAGTTTTAATTAACAATTCTTAATACCTCTAATATATGTTAAAATATTATTAACAATATAGAATTTATAATTTAAATTTGACTGTCATATACTACATTTTTCTGTATTAGAATTTAATTTCTGACTGTAGAGAGAGCACAGAAATTTTTAATAAATCTTAACTCAAATTTCATAAGTTGTTACAAATACCGAATGTCTATTTTTCATAAAAATATAATTTTTGTATAAAAATGTTTCTTTTTTATAAAATACAACTTTTTTATGCATAACCTATCAATTTACACTTTATCAGATGATTTTAACTGATTAAAAACGATTTTTTAAAAAAATTTGAATTTACTTATCTTGACAATTTTACTAACGTTAGGGAGTAACTGGGGTGTCCAGACACCCCAGACGTATTTTAAAAGGAGATAGAGCTCTTCCTAGAGCAAAACTTTTGGCGGCACATACAGGTGTCAAAAGATAGAGGTTCAAACTAAATTATCAACGGGTTTTGAGCGCAAAAAAATTATTGGTTAAGCCATGGAAATACTTTGAATTTTGCTTGGGGTGTCCAGACACCCCAGTTACTCCTTCTAGGGTTAAAATTAAAGCCATGACAGAAGGGGAACCTATCGGTTATTTTTCTTTAAACACTCTTCTATTTGCTACAGGGTTTAAGGATCATAGAAGGAGTTTACACCGTAAGCCTTAAATATAAGCCTCCGCGAGCATAAACGGATATGCCGCCATGAAGATATACTTGCGTCTGCGCAAAGTGTTTGCCTGCAGCTGTGTTGTGAAAGAGTTTGCCTTGACCACGTGTTCGCGCAGGCGCAAATATATGCTCCTGGAGGTGTATCCGTTTATGCGCGCGGAGGCTTATATTTAAGGCTTACGGTATAAACTCCTTCATAGTACTTTACACGCTTGAAAATGAAGCTATTTTATAGAATTTTTTTTACGATTCCTATGGATTATATTGATCTGCATTTTTTCAGTTCAATAAATACACTCTATAACTTTATAAAAATCTTATTTTATTAAAAAAATATTATTTGTTTATTTAAAATTTAACAATAATTTTAGACCTGCTAAAAATTTTACACCACATTTTTGACATATTTTATTTTCGAAGTCCGTAATAAAAAAATTTTGCTTTTATGAAAATGACAAAGTGGTATAAACCCTTAAGCATCACTGTGTGTGAAGTAACTAACCTGACATGTAACAGAATTGTAGTTTACAAGAACAGTTTTATAACAAAATTGGAAATAAAACGGATTTTACAATTGACAGAACTGACAACCTTCTTCAGGGTGTCTACAACTAATCTGAAAAAAATTTCCCTGACATTTCCAGGTTTTCCAGGCCTTCTGACATTTTTTTCCAGGTTTTAAGAATCGACATAATAAGGGGTTTCTAAAAATGCATTGCTCAAATTTTATTCGATAACACTTATTTGTGGGAGAAGTTCACAACGTTTGTCATCAACGATTTGAAGAAAAAAACTGTTTTTCACTCAGAAAACAATATTTTACGTTTGCAAAATATTCTTTTTCAACTTTTTGTTCAGGAAACATTGTAAAAGTTTTATTAAGACAAGTTTGAATATAAAATTATTTTTACTTCTTAATCGTTGTAAACCTCACCAACGTTTATGAATATAAAATAAGCATTTTAAAAAAATTGTCATGGCTCGGACCAGTTACAGTATTTAGAATACCAGAATACGTACTTTACGGACTAAAACAAAAAAACTACGGACCATTTACGAATAAAAGAGAACATTTTACTTAAAACTATAAATTAAATTTCTTCATGTTTTATAATAATTAAAGATGCCCGAAAGATAAAATCTTTATTTTATATAATATAAGAATATTGATACTGTAACTTCCAAATTATTTTCATCATTTTAATTCAATTATTATTTTCAAAAATTTTTAACTAAAATTCTTTAACTAACTGAGTGGTTATGTCAGGAAAGTCATTTATTTTGATTTCTCGAAATAATAAGAAAATAGGAATTTATCAAGTTTTGAAAACTTGTTGCTCCTCATTTATCGTCTGGGACTATAATATACATAATTTTAGATTTAAAATTAAATAAAATCATAAAAATATATATTATTCTTAAAATTATAAATGTTAGAAAAATTAACATTTTTTAACCAAAATGTATTGCCTCATGAAATTAAAAGAAGTCCACTGATTTATCCAAATTATGGAAAAGAAAATAATTTGATTAAATCAGTAAAATTTTTAATTTTAAGGAAGAATTTGATAAACAATCGGAACAAAAGTTAGTCTAATGTCATAATTTCGTATTTTAAAAAAAAGTCAAATTAAATTTTAAATTCCTTTTGGTAAAAGCGTAACGAATTTAATTTTCTAAATTTTGAACATTTTACATATATATTTGAAAAAAAATGATAATTTTTTGTCAATAATGAATGATTTAAGTAACATAACCTAAAATTTAACAAATGTTTCTTATTGACAGAAAATTGTAATTTTTATTCAAATGAAACTTTTAATTGTTTTAAATATTCAAAATTAAATTCTTCGCCTTTCCAACAAGACGAATTTAAAATTTAATTTGTTTTTTTAAATTACGAAATTATGACATTGGAATAACTTTTGATTTGACTGTCCGTCAGATTCTTCCTTAAAAGGCAACATTTTCAAATATACGGCACTGAATTTAGTAGCGCCACCGTACACTGTGGAGCACTTAAAAACTAAAGCCAGCGTACACTTTGGCGACAGCGTACAGTTTGAAAGCGTACAGTTTGGAGGCCCGACTGTAGTACAATTTACAAACTTTTCGTCCTTTTTCAATCAAATTACGGACTTTACGGACCTTTTTTTAAAAAAATTTGATTAAAATTGTTTTTAAATAATTGAATTTTTTTTGGAAAATTTGATTAAAATTGTAGATATTGAAAATCATTGAATTCGTGAAAATTTTTAAAAATAATTGCATTTCGGAGAAGAATTTTATTATTTCTAAAAATAATTGATATTTTGACGAGAATTTTTGCAATCATTTGTGATTTCTCTAAAATTCTCAAAATTATATTGTACAATTTACAAACTTTTCGTCCTTTTTCAATCAAATTACGGACTTTACGGACCTTTTTTAAAAAAAACTGACTTTTCTGGACTTGAAGTAAATTTTCGGACCTTTACGGGATTTACAGGCCTAGTTCGAGCCCTGAATTATGTATTTTAAGGCAGTAGTCTCCTTTTATTTTAAAAAAATATTTAAATTCTTCTTAGTAACAACGATTTTTGTGGAGCTCTGCAGTCTGTATTTTTAAATCGGTGCCGGTGATGGAGGTCGTACGATGCATCTGAAACAGTCAAACCAAATTTTTTTTTACTTTTTATAAGTGTCTTTTCTATTTGAACTAAAAAAATACCGAAGAAATTAACAAATTCCAAATTTTTTCGAAGTTTAAAAAAAAGTTTACTTTTAAAAAAAATTCACTTTAAGGTGCAAAAGAAAATAGTTTAAATAATACTTTTGTCCAACTATTTTAGTTCAAATAGAAGATAATTTAATACTGAAGCGAGAAAACTTTGATTTTTGTCAATCGGACAAAAATTCTTTTTGCTATCACCGGCACCGTTTTCTATGACGTGTGAAAATGAAAATTCGAGAAAAAGCGATTTAAAGTTTTAGGTCCAAAAAATACAATTTTTAGGATACTTACACTAATTAAATTTTAATCAGCTATTCCTGGCCCATATAGTAGTCTTTCCTCTTCCTCGAAGAACTCATTTTGTCGAAGATTTTCTTCTCTTCGAGCTGTTCGAGCCCCCTTGCTCGAAAATGACGAGCGCCGGTTTTACCTTGTTATGCGCTCCGCATCGATATTATCGGCAAAATTTTTGCATTGCTGCCCGACAACAATATCGAGCAGCTGCATCGTGGTCAGCACAGTTGCATAGGCCTCGTTAAAAATGCCTGCAGCCAAATTTGCCGCTATTTCGACGATTTTAGAGCCGGAATTGACGTGTTTTGGGTTTAAGCGCCACACAAGCGAATTGAACGCTTCGTTCGAATTTTAAGTGTGAGTATACACCTTTTCAGGTGTGTACAAGGTGATTCAAGGTTAGATAAACAATAGAACGCATGAAGGGGCGCAACGCGCGCGTTGGGGTCTGCCCGAGCATTCACACGTGCTCGACGATCGGTCACAAAATCTGTTCTACCTTCGAAAATATGTCAAATTGGCCTCTAAAATTTTAAAGACATATTCTTAGATAGTTTTGGAATAGATTTAAGACACAAAAAAGTCGATTTTTTTAAGCCTATAAAGGAGATTACTGCCTTAAAAACAAATTGACTTATTTTTAATTGGAAAGGCAATATTAATTATTACTATTAATTTTTTACTAAAAGTTTATAAAACTAATTGTGGGCATTAAAAATATTGTTTAAGAGTATTTCAAGTCATGATGAAAAAAATTCCCTGACATTTCCCGGTTTTCCAGGTGTTGTAGACATCCTGTTCTTATGTAATGAGAATGTAAAAACTTATTTTAACAAATTTTTATTGTTATTTCTTATCCATCGTTTTCGTGTCATACTATAATCTCTTTGTAACATTGCATAATTTACATAAAAAATCAAATCGAAACATTAGGTACGTAACATCAGTAAATTAATAATAATAAATTGTATATGAAGCAAATATGCAATACCAGTATTGAAATTTTAAATGTATGGGCAATTCCACGTGAGATTTACCTGTGTATGACCATTAAAATTCGGTTGAACACATTTTTTTCTTAATCTTTATAGAAAAATATGAAATACTTATTTTTTAATTTTGTTTAATTGCCCAAATTTTTGAGTTATGAATTTTCGAAATTTTGGAATTGTAAATGTAGACCTATTTTCAGTAGCTTGTAGCTCTGAAAATATTTATTGAGTTTAGAAAAAACTTGTCAAGGAATGAAAGTTTTAGTTTTCTTTCAACTTTTAAAAAATGTAAAAAAAATTTTAAAAAATTTTTTTTATTAAGAAAATTAATTTTTTTTAAACTTTGGACTTGATTTTAAAAATTTGTTTAAAAATTTATTTATGCCTTATAATGTAGAGAAGATTTTTCAAATACTCTGGGAATGGCCTAATTATGAGTTTTAAAAAATTTTCTAAAATCACGTGCAAGTTTCACAGTGGGATTTTTTTACAATTAACTTTTAAAAATTGTCTGCAGCCTACAATTTTAATCGATTTGAGTGTTTTTTGTTTTAAATGAAAGGGGAATAATTTCTCAAGATATCGCTTCATGCAAACCCAAGAATATTCAATTGTTTATAATTTTCTTTCAAATCAAAGTTAACAAATTAATTGTGTATTTTCCTTTAAATGAAAGTTTATTTTCTTATTCCGTTACTACGCATGTCTTAAATCAGTTTAAGTTAATATAATAGATATGATCTGATAAATAGCAAATCATAAAATAATTTATGTAAACTGTTATAAACAATATTAGTTATATTATTAACAATATTAGTTAACAAATACTTAACTTTGATTCCTCTCCAGCAAAAAACTTTGTTCTTTCATATTTATATTGTACTTTAGGTTCATTTAACCTTTATGGGACTGAGAAAAAAGACACCTTTTATGGACGGACGAGGTGCCCTGGTACCTATGTTATTAATTTGTTAACGATTTCTTATGGATATTATTATTTAACTATAGAAACTAAATTACATATTTTATAAAGAATTATGTGCAGTACTATGAAAATTATTTTAAAAAATTTTTACATTTATCTGCATGAAATGTATAGAGGTACCCGCATATCTTGTCCGCCTTTTATGGGTAAAGAAACCTTTAGATTAAAACAAAAAAACACTCAAATCGATTAAAAATTGTAGGCTGCAGACATTTTTGAAAAGTTATTTGTAAAAACTGTGAGGTTTACACGTGATTTTTGAAAATTTTTTAAAACTCATTAAAAGCATCATACCCATTCTGAGAGTTTCTGGAAAATCTTCTCTACATTATAAGGTATAAATAAAAAAAATAAAAAAATTGGGTTCAAAGTTTAAAAAAAATTAATTTGTTTATAAAAAAATTTTTTTTTTTATATTTCTTAAAAGTTGAAAGTAAACTAAAACTTTTATTCTTCAACAACTTTTTTCTAAACTCAATATTTTTAGACTTATAAGTAGAAAATAGGTCTTCATTTACAAATCCAAAATTTCGAAAATTCATAACTCAAAAATTTGGGCAATTAAACAAAAATAAAAAAATACGTATATGGTCAAAATCGCGAAGCATGTAACGTAACAGTCTTTTTGTTTTGTCCATAACTTTTAAATAACAAGGAATTAATAAATTTTTATGTTTGCATCTTAAAATATATATTTTTTAACAATTATATTGCATAGAAATATAAATTTTTTTGTATTTATCAATTAAAAGTTATAAACGTTTTAAAAAGACTGTTACGTTACAAAAGTTTCGTTTTTCGCGATTTTGACCATGTACGGTAAATCTCACGTGGAATTCCACGTTTTATTAAGATTGACATACACGGAAAGAAAAAGTCCGTCAACCATTAATGGATTAGTATATTACTTTGAGACGGGACACAAAATCATTGAATGTATAACATACTTTGAGTCACAATCAGTGACGAGTTGCTTGCTAAAATTTAGAAAACTGTCATCAATATATAAAACTCGTTCACTAAAATTTAGAAAACTGTCTATTAAATTTTCTATGACTATCAAAAGCATTCAAAAAATTCAACTTTTTTCAGAATTATCCCTAATTTTAGACACTATTTGGTACAGAATGAACACATTTTTTTCGTTGCACAGTTCCGATATTTTATTTACACTCTTAGACGCTTTAGACCAACACATTTTCGCATTTTAACGCAAGTAACCTAAAACCCAAGACTCACATGTATATTTGCATACTTATAATAACTACACGTAGAAACGCACACTTATAACACTTTAAGTTTAGAAGCGAACTGTTCTTATATACCAAATAACAAAATTTTTCACAACTTGTGAGAAATGATTTTGCACTAATAACTACTTTTTAATTAGCGAGAAACATAAAAGAAAATATATTTTCATCGAGGTCAATTTCTAGACGCAATTCAACTGCAAATTGTTAGTTAAGTTAAATATTCACATTACACATAATAGTATATAGGGATATGTATAGCAGACAGCAAAAACACATGGACTATAGAGAAACCGGAAGAAATGCGCATCGGTACACTGCGCAACAGTGCGCTAGTGAAGAGCGCCGATTTAGAATACGAGTCAACTAACGTTTTACAAACTTTCACTAATGATTCGTAAACATTCAAACAGCCATTGATAACAATTCAGCATTAAATCTAAAACAATTGGTCACATACTGGCCTTCTAATCAATCCATGACTCGTTTTCAATCGTTAAGTAAAGTTAAGTAACCATCAACGGAAAAAGAGTCCCGTCTCAAAGTAATATACTAATCCATTAATGGTTGACGGACTTTTTCTTTCCGTGTACACATTAAATTTAATATAATTTGTACACTGAGAGACCTTTGGGTCAGCAGCAGACTTTCGATAGGCTGCTACTGACCATTTTGGAGGAACGCTACAGGACTATACTTTTGGGTTGCTGCGGTAAAATCTTGGGCGCGTGACAGTCCCAAAGTTGTTCAGCTGCAAACCAAAGGCGGCATTTCCACTACTTTGGTGAGCTGCTCACCAACATTTGGGACTGTCACGCGCCCATGATTTTACCGCAGCGCACCAAAACCATAGTGGAGCTTCTGTCACATACGTTGTTCCGCTACAGTCCCAAAGGTCTCTCAGTGTAGGTATTACATTTAATATAAATGTATATTAATTTTAATAAAAATGTACATCAAATTTCAATATTGGTATTCCATATTTGCATCATATACAATTTATTAAACATACAGATTTTTCTAATAGTGTAAAATACTTTTAATTGAAATTGAAAAATATTATGAAGCTGTAAAATTTTCTAATTCTAGGGATCCAAAACTACTTGTACAGTTAAAAGCACATAGAAACACAGTTCCTGTTCCTCGACATTGGTGTTTTAAAAGAAAATATTTACAAGGTAAAAGAGGTATTGAAAAACCGCCATTTGATTTACCAGATTTTATAAAACGGACAGGAATTACTGAAATGCGTGCCAGCTTACAAGAGCGCGATGATACAAAAACTTTAAAAGCTAAAATGAGAGAACGAGCACGACCAAAAATGGGGAAAATTGATATTGATTATCAAAAGTTGCACGATGCCTTTTTCAAATGGCAAACAAAACCAAGAATGACTATACATGGTGATCTTTACTACGAGGGAAAAGAATTCGAGACAAGATTAAAAGAAAAGAAACCCGGTGAATTGTCTGATGAGCTACGGACTGCTTTAGGAATGCCTATTGGACCCAACTGTCACAAAGTACCTCCACCATGGTTAATTGCTATGCAGCGTTACGGTCCACCCCCAAGCTATCCAAATCTTAAAATTCCAGGTTAGTAATTTACAAAATTAATATAAAATACAGGTTTTCAAAATTGAGCCTCCCAATTCAATAACTCGATCTATGCTCGGACGCACGCGCTAATATCAGTCAAGTAACAGTGCGCGTCTCTTGGCCACTCACCGCTTAATTACTTATTAATTTCTAGAAATTAATATTATAGGTCCTTTATTCTGTCTGCAGGGCTCGAACTAGATCCGTGAATCCTGTAAAAATCCGTTTTTTTAAAAAAAGGTCCTTAAAGTCCGTAATTTGATTGAGAAATAACAAAAAGTTCGTAAATTCTACGATATAATTTGGAGAATTTTAGAGAAATTACAAATGATTGCAGTAATTCAATTATTTTCAAAAGTAATAAAATTCTTCGCAGACATTCCATTATGTTCAAAATTTTTTAAAAATTCTCGTCAAAATTTCAATTATCTTTAGAAATAATTAAATTCTTATCCAAAATGCAATTATTTTCAAAAATTTTAATAAAATTCTTGTCAAAATTTCAATTATTTTTAAAAACTTTCCTCAATTCAATGATTTTCAATATTTACTACTTAAAAAAAATTTTCCAAAAGAATTCAATTATTTAAAAAAAAATTTATTAATATTCTAAGCGAAACTTTAATTATTTTCATAAAATAATAAAAATTTCATAAGAATTCAATTATTTACAATTTCTTTTATAAATTTCTTCGCAATAATTCAATTATTTTCATAAATAATACAATTTTTACACGGATTCAATTATTTTCGTAAATGGGTAAAACTCCGTCAGAAAAATTACAATTTGCATGGGGTCTACGGATTATTCTGTAATTTGGTGAAGTTGTTATATTTGATAACAAAAATAAGTGTACCAAAGGATTTTTAAAATTGTAAAAGTTACGCCATTTTGAATTTTTTTATAAGATTTTTTTCAAATGTGAATATTTCCGAAACAATTTAACGGATTTTAATAAAATTTAAATATGTTATACTTAAAATCATGTCCTTTCAGAATTTTTCAAAAGAAAAAATTTTTTTTTGTTTTTTTCAAAAGAAAGTAAAAAAAAAATTTTGAATCGATTTATTAAGCACGGGACCGATTTTTGAGTATTTTTCGATATATAATAAAATATTCCTTATAATTTCACCTTTCATTTACAAAAAAGAAAACGATGGAGACTTCAATAGTTTTCGAGATATTGCAATTTTTGTGGAAGCGCGACCACGTTTCAGTGCCAGCGCAGTATCTTTTACCCGGGACGCTACACAGTGGGATTTTTTACACTTTACTCTTCAAAATTGTCTAGAGCCTACAAATTTTATTGGATTTTAATGTTCTTGGTCTTAAATCAAAGGGGATAAAATTTCTAAGAGATCCCTTTAAACCGATTTTTGAATTTTTAATTGTTTATTTATTTTTTTGTTACTCAAAGTTAACAATTTAAAATATTTTTTTAAAAAATACACAAGATCGAAATCAATTTAAATTAGTCTTGTCTGACCACCTGACAAATAATAATCCATAATACAGTTTATTTAAATTGTTAAAAAAAACAGTTTAAATTAACAAATAGATAACTTTGGTCTTTTTTTTTAAATTGTTTTTTTAGACAAATTTATGTTTATTTGAGTAATGTATGTATATTTTGTAAATAAATGATTTTAAAGTTAACAATTATCATTGTTATTAATAATTATATACACTGAGAAAACTGGAGTATTGGACAAAATATACATCTGGATATACATCTGGAGGGACAAATCGTTGATATTTGAGAGTTAGCTATTGGATAACAATCTCAATGTTCAAATACACCATTGACAGATATTCGTGCCATTTCTCTTTGAGGGAAAATGAGTTTATAACAGAGGGACAAATTAACCATCTTGAGAAATCCCTTCCTTATCCGGCGCGAAATGAATAAATATGGCAACCTAACCCCTAAATTAAATACATAAAATGTCAGAAAAATAATTTCGCGCGCATCAGATCGTACACATTTTCTGCGCAACTTTTAACCCTCAGATATAATGAGAGAGAATATACAAGTAGATTTCCATTATCAATTCAAAATTTATTTTAGAAGGACTATTTAACTCTCTTCATAAGCAAAGGAAACATACACTTTTTGAACCTCTGAATTTGACTCTCCAGTTTTCTCAGTGTAACCAATAATCTATTTTATTTTGCATTTATAAACATTTTCGTCATTTTTTAAACTTTAAATATATTTATATTATATGTAATAAACATAAATTTGTCTACAAAAAAACAATTTAAAAAAAAAAAGACCGAAGTTATCTATTTGTTAATTTAAATTGTTTTTTTAACAATTTAAATAAACTGTATTATGCATTATTATTTGTCAGGTGGTCAGACTAGACTAATTTAAATTGATTTCGATCTTGTGCAATGAAAAAATAAAAAATAAACAGTATTTTTTACAAAAATATTGTAAATTGTTAACTTTAAGTAACAAAAAAATAAATAAACAATTAAAAATTCAAAAATCAGTTTAAAGGGATCTCTTAGAAATTTTATCTTCTTTGATTTAAGACCAAGAACATCAAAATCTAATAAAATTTGTAGGCTCTAGACAATTTTGAAGAGTAAAGTGTAAAAAATGCCACTGTGAAGCGTCCCACAGTGGCGAAAAATGTACTTTTTCGTTCCAAATCACTCTGCAGGTCACAATTTTTGACCAAAATGACTTTTCTTTTTTTCTAAATCTTCGTAGATAAAGTCTCTATCGAACTCTCGAGCCCGATTTTTGAATTTTTGTTTTTAAACAATTTTTTAATAACAATGAGTATTAAAAAAATCATAAAATTTTAGGAAATATTTTTTTTAGCTTAATTAATTAAAAAAATTTATCAAAAAACCTATTAAAATAAAGTTTGAGTGTTTCTGATGTAGAAAAAAAGTATAACAATTTATTAAATTGTTTAAACAATTAATTGTTGTTAATTTTTTCATTAGCTGTATTTAGGGCTAGAAATTTCTGGTTTTTTCACAAATGTACAATTTTTCATAAGTAACACATGTACTAATGATAAAAAATAAATTAATTAAACATTGTTTAAACAATTAATTGTTGATATTTTGTCCATAAACTGTATTTAGGGCTAAAAATTTCTAGTTTTTTTCACAATTGTGCAATTTTTCGTAAGTAAAACATCTACTAATGATAAAAAATAAAAAATAAATTAATTAAACATTGTTTAAACAATTAATTATTATTATTTTGTTCATAAACTGTATTTAGGGCTAGAAGTTTCTAATTTTTTTCACAATTGTGCAATTTTTTATAAGTAAGACATCTACTAATGATAAAAAATTAATTAATTAAACAATTAATTGTTGTTATTTTGTTTATAAACTGTATTTAGGGCTACAAATTTCTAGTTTTTTCACAATTGTGCAATTTTTCATTAGTAAAATTTTAGTTCTTTTACACATAAGAATGTATAAAATAATGAATAAATTAAAAACACCATAAACTGAAATTAACCATAATAATAATAATTTTTCTATTCTACTTAAGGGGTTACATATGGGTCAAAACGACCTGAAAACGGCTGTTTTTTTAATAATTTTTTTTTCATAAAATAAATAAATTTTTTTATTTGAACACTTTGGTATCTGAAAGTACACTATTAAATAAGAAAGATATTAAATTTTTGAAAAAAAATATTAAAAATCAGGCCCGTAGCAACAGTTCTTCGGGCCCCTTTAAAAAAAATTGCTTTTGCGGTGGTCAAGATATCTTTTGACTACTTCATCTAAAATCAAAATACAAAAAATTTTCTGTTAGTGGGTGAATATATCTCGTGATTGAACGATGGGTTTTCAAAGAAATTGAAATTTGGATGTTTGACAGTGTCTTTTATCAAAAGTTATAATTTTTAGAACCATTAAGACCATGTAAAATCGGTTCTAATCAACAAAAAAAATATTCCTTCGTTCAATCACGAGCTATATTCATCCACTAACAGAAAATATTTGGTTTTTTGATTTTCAATGAACCGGTCAGAAGATATCGTGACCACCGCTTTTTTGGAAGGGTTCTCAAAGAACCTGTAGGTACGGCCCTGATTTTAAATATTTTTTAACGAAATTTTTACAAGTTACTCTTTTAATAGTGTACTTTAAGATATAAAAACACTCAAATAAAAAAATTTATTTATTTTATGAAAAAAAATAATTAAACAATCATACATTGTCTGGACGTTTTGACCCATGTAACCCTTTAAGTGTTTAAGTTATAAGAAATTACATAATTGAGAAAATTTAAGAATTTCTAGATTTAAGTACAATAAAATGGAAAATTAAAAAATTATTTGTTTAAACAAATATTAAAATAATTAACTTTTAGTTTTTATTATACTTGAATGTTTTTGTTTCAAAAAAATGCATAATACAGAAAAAATTTAGAAATTTCTAGCCCTAAGTACAGTTTATGAACAAACTAACAACAATTATTTGTTTAAACAATGTTTAATTAATTTATTTTTTATTTTTTATCATTAGTAGATGTTTTACTTATAAAAAATTGCACAATTGTGAAAAAACTAGAAATTTCTAGCCCTAAATACAGTTAATGAAAAAATTAACAAAATTAATTGTTAAACAATTTAATAAATTGTTATACTTTTTTGTCTACATCAAAAACACTCAAACTTTATTTTAATAGGTTTTTTGATAAATTTTTTTAATTAATTAAGCTAAAATAAACAATTTTCTAAAATTTTATGATTTTTTTAATACTTATTGTTATTAAAAAATTGTTTAAAAACAAAAATTAAAAAATCGGGCTCGAGAGATCGATAGAGAATTTATCTACGAAGATTTAGAAAAAAAAAGTCATTTTGGTAAAAAATTGTGACCTGCAGAGTGATTTGGAACGAAAAAGTACATTTGAAGGGCTACATAGAATAAGGGGACGAACGCGAGGCTTGGAAGGGATAGTACCAGTCAGGTAGCAGTGACGGGCCTTGAGCCGCTCGCTCCTACCTGACTGATATTATCCCTTTCAACCATGCGTTCGTCCCCTTATTTTATGTAGCCCTTCATTTTTCGCCACTGTGCGTCCCGGGTAAAAGATACTGCGCTGGCACTGAAACGTGGTTGCGCTTCCACAAAAATTGCAATATCTCTAAAACTATTAAAGTCTCCATCGTTTTCTTTTTTGTAAATGAAAGGTGAAATTATAAGGAATATTTTATTATATATCGAAAAATACTCAAAAATCGGTCCCGTGCTTAATAAATCGATTTAAAAATTTTTTTTTTACTTTTTTTTTCTTTTGAAAAATTCTGAAAGGACATGATTTTAAGTATAACATATTTAAATCTTATAAAAAAATTCAAAATGGCGGAACTTTTACAATTTTGAAAATTTTTAAAAATCCTTTGGTACACTTATTTTTGTTATCAAATATAACAGCTTCACTAAATTACAGAATAATCCGAAGACCCCATGCAAATTGCAATTTTTCTGACGGAGTCTTACCCAAATAATAAAATTCTTTTTAGCAATCCAATTATTTTGATAAATAATAAAACTCATTGCAGAATTTCAATTATTTTTAATGCAATTTTAATCGAATTCGTCAAAAAATGTAATTATTCTTAAAAATTTTATTAAAATAAGTCAAAAGAATTCAATTATTTAAAAATTTATTGATAAAATTCTCTATGAGAATTCAATTTTAAAAAATAAGCAATTATTCAATAAATTGTTTTTTTATGTAAATAATTAAATTCTAATAGAATTTTCCTAAAAAAATTGATTTAAAAATGTATAAGTTAAAGTTTTCGATTATAATTAAAGATTAGAAGCATTAAAGCGTGAATTTTTAGAAATAATTGAAGTTTGAAAAGATTTTACATTAGAATCTTTGAGAATTTGAATTTTTCATATTTATAACTAATAATTCTGTGGAATTAATTTTTTTTGAGAAAGATTAATTGCGGATTTTTATTTTTGAAATTATTTAAAGTTTTTATTTTCTAATCTATATTTAATTGAAGAATTTACGAATAATTGAAATTTTTTAAAATTGAATTGTATTCAAATGAATTTAAAAATTCTCAAAGAACTTTTTCAAAAATTAAAAATAATAATAATAATAAAAATAATAAATAATAATAATTAATAATTAATAATTAATAATACAGTGAGTTCTCGCGAGTCGTCCAATTCTCGAAAATTTTCAAGATCATAAAACTCACGAGTCGTTCAACGCATAAGCCACGCCTCCAAGGCGATTTCAGGGATGTGTGAAACATATTTATCGCCCCGAAAGACACAATATTCAATGACTTTGGTCCGTTTAAATTACACAGCACTGAGCACCGGCGCGCGCATGCTAGAAATTGAACGACTCGTGAATCGGACACTGATCAGCTGTTGAACGACTGGCGAGTTTGAACGACTCGTGAGTTGAACGACTCGCGAGAACTCACTGTAATTAATATTATAAAAATAATAATAAAATAATAATTATAGAAGAATTTTAGTTAAAATGTGGATTCAATTATTTTGATAAATAATAAAACTCATTGCAGAATTTCAATTATTTTTAATACAATATTTTTATCAAATTCCTCAAAAAAATGTAATTATTCTTAAAAATTTTATTAAGGTATAGTATTATAGTTTGTAAGCAGTGAAAAATGAGTTGAAACAACATTTTTTTTCTCGGTAATGAATTTATTTAAAGTAATAAAACTTTTTGCATCACATTATTGACATTTTTGCCTGTCAAGAATACAAAAAATTTTTGTTTTACTATGCTGGTTTCATCACTAGAGGGCACCAAAGTTGAGATAAAAAAATGAACGATCAATCGACGGACAAGCTATAGCCTCTCAGGAACATCCGATCTGAAAAAAACCAAAGGTGGTTTTGAAGTTGTGATACGTGGTTAGGCATCCCCCCTAACCCGGATAAAAATATTAAAAAATAAAAAATGTCGATTTAAAAAAAAATCTACAAAAAATGGGATTTTTTACCCATTTTTATGTCCTAACTTTCGCACAAAAAGACAATCGGCTTTAGGGGGGATGCCTGAAGGCTTTCATAACGAAATTTTATTCAGGGTTTTTTAAAATCTGTTGAAAAGAACTCGAGTTATGCTATCCGCCAGTTTGAAAAACATCGTTTTGAGAAAAACGCGTTTAAAGTGCCATTACGCGCGACCGGCCTCCGCGCGCAGAGAACCGTTGTACGTATATTTGTGTATAACTTTTTTATTTCTTCGAATTTTAATCTATAATTTGGAAATTATATTCTTCAGATGATTTAGAACACAAAAGTAAAAGAAAAAAATCTATTTCTTGATCGACACAAACTATAATACTACACGGAGAGAAGGGCGTAGTAGATTCTACTGACATGGCAGTTAAATCTACTAAACAGAATCGTTAGGTTTGGACTGACGGTACAGACAGTGCCATCTACTGCACTGTTTAGTAAGATAGTAAGATACACTGAGCAAACAGTATATTCTACTAAACAGAGAGGTGTCGTAGTGTATTATACTAAACATATAGTTGGCGCCACTAACCGGTGCACTAAATGATTTACTAAACGCGTTCTGTCACATTTACTGCAACTCTTCTCTCCGTGTACCTTAAAATTCGTCTAAAGAATTCAATTATTTAAAAATTTATTAATACAATTCTTTATGAGAATTCAATTTTAAGAAACGCGATTATTCAATAAATTGTTTTTTTTGTATTTGAATAATTGAATTCTAGTAGAATTTTCTCATAAAAATTGATTTAAAAATGTATTTCAGTTAAAATTTTGTATTATAATTGAGTATTGAAAAGGTTTCAGTTTAAAATCTTTGATAATTTAAATTTTTCATATTTTTAACTAACAATTCTGTGGAATTAATTTTTTTGAGAAAGTTTAATTGCAGATTTTTTTATATTATTTGAAGTTTTTATTTTCTAATATATTATATTTAATTAAAGAATTTACGAATAATTGAAATTTCGTAAAATTGAATATTGTAAAAAAAATGGATTTGAAAATTGTCAAAGAAATTTTTCAAAAATAATTGAATTGATAATGATTTTATCAAATTTAATGTATTGTTTTAAGTAAAATGTTCCTTTAGTTAAGTCCGTATTTTTAAATACTTTCACTGGTTCGAGCCCTGATCCAGTGGTACGCGTTCAAAGACTGTGTTATTCACCTTACATAATTATAAAATAAAAATAATTTTTTTGTTAGGTTTGAATGCACCAATTCCTGAAGGTTGTGCATTCGGTTACCATGCTGGTGGTTGGGGAAAGCCACCAGTTGACGAAGGTGGCCGTCCTCTCTATGGTGACGTTTTTGGAATATCGCGCGCACCAGGAAGTGACGCTTTAGATGAAGATGTTGATCGAGGACTTTGGGGAGAACCTGAATCGGAATCTTCTGGAGATGAAGATGAGGATGAAGAAGATGAAGGTGGCGAGTTGGAAGGTGATGGAAAAGAAGGTGAAGGAGAAGTCAGTGGTTTGGTAACACCTGGTGCTGAGGGTCTCATCACGCCTAGCGGTATTGCTTCAATTCCTGCAGGACTTGAAACTCCTGAAACAATTGAATTAAGAAAGAAAAAAATTGAAAGTGAAATGGAGGGTGGGGATACACCAGCTCTTTATACTGTTCTTCAGGAAAAGAGAACCGAAAATCTGGGAAGTAGTATGATGGGTAGTACTCATGTATATGATATGACAGGAGGTGGCGGTCAAGCACCTCCATCAGTTATGGCTGCAAGACGTGGAATCAGTAGTGCGTCTGCTGATGTCAGAGAAAAAGATGGTACAATAGAATTAGCTCTTGATCCCAGTGAATTGGATCTTGATTCTGAAACTATGGCTACTCGTTACGAAGAATCAATGCGGTCAAAACATGCACATAGGCGAGAAGATTTATCTGATATGTTACAAGATCACGTTCAACGGCAGAAGGTAAGTTTTCTAACAAATTTATGTTTTTATTTATAGAAACGCAAATTAAATAGTTAGAGAAGAACGAATCTAGTAACTCGTGGAATTGTCACTACGATTGAGGGACTCCATAGAATAAGCCAGTCAGGTAGCAGTGAGCGGCTCAAGGCTTGTCACTGCTACCCGATTGGTAATAACCCTGCCAAACCTCGCGCTTGTCCCTTTATTCTATGGAACCCCTCATTCAGTATTTATATTGCATAGTATAATTTTAAATTTTTTGTTCTTTGTTACAGAGTAAACGAAAACGTCAGCAAAACACGGACAGCAAATCTTCGAAAAAATACAAGGAATTTAAATTCTAAACACTAAAAATGATAAATTTTATTTTCATTACAATTTATGTAACTATATACTTTTAAAATTATAGGTAAAAGATGATAATAACGTATTAAATTAAATAAAATTAATACTGTTTTAAAAGTAAAAAAACACGAAAGTTGATACTTTTAGTTTAAGAAATATTTCTTGATAAGAGCAGCAAGATTCCAAATATTTCCAATGCTTGTGTCGTTCTTTACATTAAATATATTTCTAATATTGCTCGTCCACATCGTACAACTTTTTCCGTGAAACATTAATGTTAAACTGCGTAAACAGCCTCTTTTTTATTAAGAAAAAAATATTCACTATATCAATTTTTAGCGCAGTGAAGACTCGCGAGTTTGAATGATTCGTGAGTTAATCCCCTTTAAATTATTTTGATTCCCTTAAGGGGGATTACTCATGAGAAAAAAAATTTTTTCGAATTTTTTTTTGTTGCTTTTTTAAAATCCTTAATATCTCTAGAATACAGGTTTAAAATTTTATGACGAAATTTTGCTCCTATCAAAACTTAAAATACATCACACTACCACCGGTATGACTCCACGCGCATGGCCCAAAAACATACCAATCTTTAAATCATAATATTCCTGTAAAAAACTATGTCAGAAACTTAACAAATCTACAGTTTAAAAGCTTATAATATTCTATGTTAACCCTCCATCCGTCGCATGGTGAGAATTTCCCTCACCCAGTTTCTTTTTTTATTTATAGAGAAAGGTAGATTATGCGATTGCATAATTGCATAATTTTTTAAATTCAAGTAGAAACATTATAATATTATGTTAATTCATGTTTTAAACCTTTTACAACATGTTTCTAGAGCGCATAATATTGCATAATTTTTTACTCACTGCATAATTGTACTCTTTTTGCATAATGATCGCAGAATAGACTCAAAATTTTCAAAATAGTGCTTTTTTAACTAAAAACCATGAAAATTTTTTTTTTAGTTTCTTCATTTTTAAAATATTTTTTTAAATTAAATAATAAAATAAATAAGTTTTTAAACTATTAACTAACTTGTTAAATGTTATTGAAAAATTAAATAAATCTTAAATTTTAAAAAGCAGTAAGTACTATATATGATGAGTAACATCGTTTCCGGTCATTTTCCCGAAAGGCCGTGTCTGAATGTCTAATTAGTATAAAGATGTTTCCGTTGTTAAAATTTTTTTCGGAATCTTAAAGAAACCACAGCAAAGATTTGTTTAGTGTTTGCCTCATTCAATTTCGTTTGGTCGTTCAAGAGTTATTTAATTATTATTTAATACCTGTTTTGTTTATAAAAATTTGTATAAACATAATATAAACAATTTTTTCATTTTTTTTTCTGAATTAAGTGTGGTGGAAACATTTCTTTTTATGTGTAGATTAAAATTCCTAAAAATTTTATTGCAATTGGTTTACTTACTCCAAAAAAACTAAATTCTTACTTGGAGTCGCACATATATGTGACTGTCCACGAGAAAACACGGCTTAGCTCCCAAACGTGAATTTCACAGGGCGAGCGATTGAAGTACTGCGATTGAAGTTAACTACGCTTGACATACCCATCTTTAAAACGATATATTGTCGAAAATAATTGATATTTTTAACTTTCGACTTTTGCATCTGAAAAAGCAACATAAAATCTGTCGATTACCATAAAAAACTCAAACTGATTTTTTGGACCTAAGCCGTGTTTTGTCATAGACAGTCGACGATTGAAGTTAACTACGCTTGACATACCCAGCTTTAAAACGATATATTGTCGAAAATAATTGATATTTTTAACTTTTGACTTTTGCATTTGAAAAAGCAACATAATATCTGTCGATTACCATAAAAAAATCAAAATTGATTTTTTAGACCTAAGCCGTGTTTTCTCGTGGACAGTCACATATCTATTTTTAATAAAAAACAAAAAAAAATTTTGGGTACATAAATCTTTGGGAAATTAGATTCGGGAAAAAGGTATTTGGGATTTTAGACATTCGGGATAGGGCCTTTCGGGAAATTGGTTTCGAAAAATAACCAGTAACTGTTCCAAATCAAAAATTTTTTTTAAATGCAGCATAATTTTGTAAAATGAACATTTTTTAGCGCATAATTAACGCAGAATTCATCTTTTTAGTTGCATAATTCCGCATAATTGTACACAATTTAAGCGCATAATTCCGCATAATTGTGCACAATTTAAGCGCATAATTAGAGGGACTCAAAATGCATAATCTACCTTTCTCTATTTATTTATAACTTTTAAAATACAAAAAATTATAATTTCATTTTCTCAGCACCTTTTACGGCACTCTTCTTCTTTACATTAAAACAATTTTGGTGTTTCTTTATATTTTAATTTCTTTGTTATTGAATTTGAAAGCAGCAAATGTCGGGGATTTTTGACGGGAAGTGAGGGAACTTCTCACTATGCGACTGACCGCGTATACTCGATTTAATTTGTCATTAATTTTTTATTTAAATAATTAACAGGAAATAAAAGTTAATTTTACTGCTAATAGGTTGTTTAGAAATTCTAATGAACATTCAAAAAAAAATTTGGCATTTTAGAACAAGTTTGGACTAATTTATGAGGGTGAGAATTTCCCTCACCTGCGACGGATCGCGTTACAAAAAAAAGTGCGACGGATGGAGGGTTAAATGATATACAATTAGAAATTTTAGGAAATTACACAAAGATTTTAACAATCGACAAATTTGAAAAAAACAATTAAAAAATGAAAGTTTTTTTGCCAATTTTTTAAACTCTGGAATATTTTTTTAAATTGCAGACAAACTTTAAAATTTTTATAGGTGTCATCCTTTAAGTCTCATCTTTAATTTAAGACCAAAAACGTTAAAAAATCTTATTCGGTTCGCGAGATATCATTATAAATGTCAGTGCATGTTTTTGGACAAGTGCATTGAATTAGTCATTTTTGTGTGGTTTTTGAAAATAAAAAGGCTCGCGACGAACATAAAGAGGCTAATCAGGAAGCTTGTGACTTACTTCATTCACCTAGGATAGCAAATTAAAATTTAGTAAGCTCTTATAATTATAGAGAAAGGTAGATTATGCATTTTGAGTTATGTACAATTATGCGGAATTATGCAACTAAAAAGATGAATTCTGCGTTAATTATGCGCTTAAATTGTGTACAATTATGCGGAATTATGCAATTAAAAAGAATTCTGCTTCAATTATGCGCTAAAAAATGTTCATTTTACAAAATTATGCTGCATTTAAAAAAAATTTTTGATTTGGAACAGTTACTGGTTATTTTTCGAAACCAATTTCCCGAAAGGCCCTATCCCGAATGTCTAAAATCCCAAATACCTTTTTCCCGAATCTAATTTCCCAAAGATTTATGTACCCAAAATGTTTTTTTGTTTTTTATTAAAAATAGATATGTGACTGTCCACGAGAAAACACGGCTTAGGTCCAAAAAATCAATTTTGATTTTTTTATGGTAATCGACAGATATTATGTTGCTTTTTCAAATGCAAAAGTCAAAAGTTAAAAATATCAATTATTTTCGACAATATATCGTTTTAAAGCTGGGTATGTCAAGCGTAGTTAACTTCAATCGTCGACTGTCTATGACAAAACACGGCTTAGGTCCAAAAAATCAATTTGAGTTTTTATGGTAATCGACAGATTTTATGTTGCTTTTTCAGATGCAAAAGTCGAAAGTTAAAAATATCAATTATTTTCGACAATATATCGTTTTAAAGATGGGTATGTCAAGCGTAGTTAACTTCAATCGCAGTACTTCAATCGCTCGCCCTGTAAAATTCACGTTTGGGAGCTAAGCCGTGTTTTCTCGTGGACAGTCACATATATGTGCGACTCCAAGTAAGAATTTAGTTTTTTTGGAGTAAGTAAACCAACTGCAATAAAATTCAGGAATTTTAATCTACACATAAAAAGAAATGTTTCCACCACACTTAATTCAGAAAAAAAAAATGAAAAAATTGTTTATATTATGTTTATACAAATTTTTATAAACAAAACAGGTATTAAATAATAATTAAATAACTCTTGAACGACCAAACGAAATTGAATGAGGCAAACACTAAACAAATCTTTGCTGTGGTTTCTTTAAGATTCCGAAAAAAATTTTAACAACGGAAACATCTTTATACTAATTAGACATTCAGACACGGCCTTTCGGGAAAATGACCGGAAACGATGTTACTCATCATATATAGTACTTACTGCTTTTTAAAATTTAAGATTTATTTAATTTTTCAATAACATTTAACAAGTTAGTTAATAGTTTAAAAACTTATTTATTTTATTATTTAATTTAAAAAAATATTTTAAAAATGAAGAAACTAAAAAAAAATTTTCATGGTTTTTAGTTAAAAAAGCACTATTTTGAAAATTTTGAGTCTATTCTGCGATCATTATGCAAAAAGAGTACAATTATGCAGTGAGTAGTGCTTCAGGTGCGGAGAAGTCGATCATAGGTTCGCAAACTGTAAAATAAGCCCAAGGATAAAGTTTGGAGTCGGTTTACTACGGATTTATTGAATAATACGAATTTTAAATTATAAACTTTTAACATTGATTCTTATAGAGACATGTGGAATTTATCCGTTTAATTGAAAAAAAATGTTGAAAGAAATCCAAATACATTCATGTTTTTTAAATAATAAGTGCATGGGGATATCACAAATCGTTTTCAACAAAAATTATACTATGTTACCGGGAATACATTAACAAATTTTAGAAAATAGTAAAAAAATATGATCTGTTAAATTTTTTAAATAACAAAGGAAAAAGAGAGGCAACGTCACTTTTACTTGCAATATTAAACTGATAAACAAAGAAACTGATATATTTATTATTTTATGGTTATAAATGTAATGAAATTGAAAGTAAAATAGAAATGGTTTTTTCAAAAATTTCCTCCCCAACGATAAATTACATGCACTGACAATTTTCTGCATTAATAAAGAATATTCTAATTCTAACCAACTAATCATAAAACAATAACATTCGTGGTATTTGACGGTTGCGAAGTTGTCAGATTTTAACACGACAGTTACAACATAGTATTAGTTTATATACAAATATATAAAATTTTTCTAGAGCGTGTGACAGTAACAAAAAAAGTTTTTTTAATCGCACATGCATAAAGATGGCGCTTTTAGATAGCTGACGACAGGGAGTAAAGTCATTCATTTGTTCGACTATATGAAAATGGCGTCCATTTTTTCCCATGTGCAAAAATAAT